GCATATTGGAATTATGCATCTGGTGAGTGTATAATTCAAATATTTGATCACCAGAAGACGCACAGTGGATCAGTTACCTTAATTATATATATTACATAGACTTTGGCACTTTTTCACTGAGTAGTCACTTTTTTGTATATGCACTACTGTCACTTTTTTACAAGTGGGATTATATGCTCATTAAGACTGTGCAATTGTGGTCATACTGTTGCAGACCATTTTCTCGGTATATCAGTATTTACATTCTATATCGGATTGTTATTGGAATTTCAGCGCTGCACCTTTGTTGTCAGTTTGGTCTAAAGAGGTTATTTGGTGCCTTTTCAGTGTACAGCAGCTTATTTTTAGCGCTCACTTTTACCCCTTTTTTGCTTATTAAAGGATACAACTGTGTAGAGATTATTCGCAAATGGAAGAAATACAAAATAACCATCAATCGCCCTTGGTCTGGAGCTCCATGCAGGATTTCGCCTCATGGTGTAAGGATGATCATGAGAAAAGTGAGGGATGAGCCCAGAACTACACGGGAGGAGCTTGTGAATGGCAGTTGGGAGCAAAGTACCAAACAAACCATTGGTAACACAATACGCTGCCATGGATTGAAATCCTGCAGCGCCCACAAGGTCCCCCTCCTTGAGAAGGCACATGTACAGGCCACCTGCAGTTTTCCACTGAACATCTAAATGATTCAGAGAAGGACTGGGAGAAAGTGCTGTGGTCAGATGAAACCAAAATTGAGCTCTTTGGCATCAACTCGACTCGCTGTGTTTGGAGGAAAAATAATGCCGACTATGACCCTAAGAGCACAATCTCTATAGTCAAGCACGGAGGTGAAAACATTATGCTTTGGGGCTGTTTCTCTGCTAAAGGTACAGGCTGACTTTGCTGCATTGAGGGGCCAATAGACATGGACATGTATTGTAAAATCTTGGATGAGAACCTTCTTCCCTCAGCCAGAACACTGAAGATAGGTCATGGATGGGTTTTCCAGCATGACAATGACCCAAAACATACCACCAAGGCAACAAAGCATTGGCTCAAGAAGAAGCACATTAAGGTCATGTAGTGGACCTTTATCCTATAGAAAATTTATGGAGGGAGCTGAAACGTCGAGTTGCCAAGTGACAGCCAAAAACACTTAAAGTAGTTGTAAAGGCAGCACCCCCACAGCCCCTTCAATACTTACCTATGCCTCATAGCGATTCAGCAATGTGAATGACAGCCTTGGCTATCCCAGATCTCTGCTCCTCACTGGCTGAGACAGCAAGTGGAAGCCATTGGTTCCCACTGCTGTCAATCACAGCCAGTCAGCCAATGAGGAGAGTGGCGGAGCCAAGTCGCCGACTCCATGTGTGAATGGATACACGGAGCAGTGGGTGCCCCCATAGCAAGCGCTTTCTGTGGGGGCACCCTGCAGACAGGAGGAGCCAGGAGAGCCAGCGGGGGACCCAAGAAGAGGAGGATCCAGGCTGCTCTGTGCAAAACCACTGCACACAGTAAGTAAATATAGACATGTATGTTATTTTACTGAAAAAAAATGGAACCTTTAGAATCGTTTTAAGGATTTAGAGCAAATCTGTAAAGAAGAGTGGACCAAAATACCTCCTGATGTGTGCACGCCTGGTAACCAACTAAAAGGAATTACTTACCTCTGTGCTTGCCAACAAGTGTTTCTCAACCAACTACTAAGACATGTTTTGCTTGGGTATCAAAAATGTATTTTACTCACTGAACTGCAACTCAATTTATAACATTTGTATCATGTTGTTTTTCATAATCTGCAGGGGATCAAATAATCCTTGTACATACTAGATAGGAACATAAGCATTTAGTTACAGCATATCTCTGGCTAATAATTTTCTGGTTTTGGATATGGTGCTGAAGGCTTACAGAAGACATTTGGGAGAGATCCACCTAGAAGTCTCTGGGGAAAACTGAACAGAAGTGGCTAGCAAAAGGGAAGATTTTTGTGAAGATCGCAAAAAGTCAGATTCTGGAGTAAGGAAGGGTGGGCTACTTTTGTTCAGGAGGGCTAGGCAGTTAGAATTTCTGTAATATCTGTAAAAAGTGCACTTATCTTTGAAAAGCCCACGGTTACTTTATTTTTTTAAAAGGCAAAGTTCAAAAGTTTTGGACACAAAAAAATGTACATTTATTATTTTTTTTTCTAAGGAGCCGCAAAACATTGCACCATAATCAGCAGAAAGAGGGTGCAATCTCAGGCTCCTGAAGACTCTCAGGATAGCTGTCTGCCCTGACTTTCTGTACATGCAGGTAGTTTCAAATATTTCAAGAATTAGCTTTATATATATATATATATATAATATATATATATATGTATATATATATATACACACACAGTTGTGTTATTGCATTAACACAATAGCAGTGTGTTGAGAAAAGTGAATAAAGCTCAAAATCCTTCTAATAGCTTTTATTTCCATACACACAAATGTATTGGGAACACTACACATTCTATTCCAAAACATGAAGAAAAATATATCACATTTGTATTGTTCCTCTAAAAAAATTGAAGAAAAGTGACTGTTCAAAAAAATAGCAGTGTTTGTATTCTTCTTTACAAACTCAAACATTCACTATATAAACTGAAAAATGTTTGAAGATTTTGCTTTTCTTTGAATCACTTAATTAATATTTAGTTGTATAAGCGCTGTTTCTGAGAACTGCTGTACATCTGTGTTGCATGGAGTCAACCAACTTCTGGCACCTGTGAACAGGTATTCCAGCCTAGGATGATTGGACTACATTCCACAGTTCTCTATTTCTTGGTTTTGCCTCAGAAACTGCATTTTTGATGTCACCCCACAAGTTTTCTATTGGATTAAGATCCGGGGATTGGGCTGGCCACTCCATAACGTCAATCTTGTTGGTCTGGAACCAAGATATTGCACGTTTACTGGTGTGTTTGGGGTCGTTGTCTTGTTGGAACACCCATTTCAAGGGCATTTCCTCTTCAGCATAAGGCAGCATGACCTCTTCAAGTATTCTGATGTATTCAAACTGATCCATGATCCCTGGTATGCGATAAACACGGTAGTAAGAGAAACATCCCCATATCATGATGCTTGCACCACCATGCTTCACTGTCTTCACAGTGTACTGTGGCTTGAATTCAGTGTTTGGGGGTCGTCTGACAAACTGTCTCCGGCCACTAGACCCAAAAAGAACAATCTTACTTTCATCAGTCCACAAAATGTTGCGTCATTTCTCTTTAGGCCAGTCAAGTGCTCTTTGGCAAATTGTAACCTCTTCAGCACATGTCTTTTTTTTCAACAGTGGGACTTTGCGGGGGCTTCTTGCAGATAGCTTGGCTTCACACGGGCGTCTTCTAATTGTAGCAGTACTCACAAGGAACTTTAGACCTTCTTTGATCTTCCTGGAGCTGATTGTTGGCTGAGTCCTTGCCATTTTGGCAATTCTTCTATCAATTCGAATGGTAGTTTTTTGCTTTCTTCCACGTCTTTCAGGTTTTGGTTGCCATTTTAAAGCATGTGCGATCAGTTTAGCTGAGCAGCCCATCATTTTCTGCACTTCTTTATATGTTTTCCCCTCTCCAATCAACTTTTTAATCAAGGTACGCTGTTCTTCTGAACAATGTCTGGAACGACCCATTTTTCTCAGAATGTCAGAGAGAGAAATGCACTGTAACCAGCAAGTACAACATTTGCTGCCTTCCTTCCTTAAATAAGGGAAATAATTGCCACCTGTTTTTCAAAGAATGAATGACCTCACTAATAGAACTCCACACTGCTATTATTTTGAACATGCCCCTTTCAATTACACAGAATCAGCAGCATGAATGTCATGACTGTTGGGTCTGTTGGATTTCTATTACTCTACTACACCTGCTAGTAAATTAATTTGCCATGTAGAAATATCATTTCTACCAAAAACAGTGATTGATCAGGTTAGTGATGTCTGACTGCTATTATTTTGAACACAACTATGTGTGTGTGTGTATATATGTATGTATGTATGTGTGTGTGTATATATATATATATATATATATATATATATATAATATATATACAAACACAGGACAACTGTGGCAAACAACTAAAATAAGTTTCCTACTAAATAAAATATTTTAACATGAAAAATGGAGAGCGATTTTTCTGTTACAGAAAATATGGATATTACCCGCACAGGTCCAATTTAGCAATAACAGCAACAGGCCAAATTTATGCCTGTAATTACAAAGCTAGCCTGCAAATGAATTTCAGAGTTTAATGTGTTAAGTGAGGGCATGAATACATTTGATGGTTCAGGGCTATATGCACTCAGAATTTCTCTGTTCCTGGCTAATATGTCTAAACAGCTAAACAGCTTTAGAGACAGCAGTAATATAATTTATTGCAAACACGCCCTTCCTGTGAAAATTTAACAATATGTCTCCAGACTGAGACAGTACACAAATGTCATACTTTATTTTAAGGTTTGGCAAGTTACAAAGTTTTTTCAGTTATAAAAGTAATGATTTTTTCAGAATACCCTGGAAGCCTTTGAACCACGTCATCCAAAAGGCCAGGGCTGCTTCTAGCTAAACTATAAAGATCTGCCACATTATGCCCTAATCACCCCCCTAATGCAAGGGATTATTGCACTGTAAGGGGATGGGGTGAATCGCTTACCCTGCCTCCACTTTGTGCCTCTTTTCAGCTCTTTGAGTGAGCTTTTAATGTTTTAGTTCAATACAAATTCAACAGATTTGACTGTTAAGGTTGTTTTTTTTTTATATTAAAATAACAAGCTGTTAAACTTACCTGCTCTGTGTAATTTTTGCACAGAGCAGCTCCGATCCTCCTCTTTTAGGGTCCCCCACACGTGCCTCCATCCTCCTAAAACGCCCCCCCCCCCATTCATGCTTGCTCGCTCATGAGCCCTGCTCTGTGTGTCCATAAGAGAGACAGCGGGCCTCGGCCTCGCTCCATGTCACTGACTCTGACAGCAGTAGGAGTCAATCTCTCCTGGTATATCTGGCCAGTGAGGAGCAAGAGAGTCGAGAGAGGCTCGGCACTCGTGCACATCGCTGGATCAAAATCAGGCTCAGGCAGGGGCGGACTGACCATTTGGAAACTCTGGCACTGCCCGAGGGCCCGGGGTCAGTAGGGGGCCCCATGAGATGCCCCTGGTACCTTTTTCATAGGCTTTTTTGAGTTTGGACAAGGACACAGGGGTCACATGATCCCCTATTGCCCGGGGGCCCCATGAGTTGTCAGTCCACCCCTGGGCTCCGGTATGTATATAAGGGGGGCTGCCGGGGAAGACGCAAGCAGAAGATTTTTTTACCTTACTGCAGAAAATGCAGTAAGGTAAAAAAAAACCTTCTGCCTTTACAACCACTCTAAAGCTGAAATCCAGGTATGGATTTTATTGCATAGTTACATTGGTCCAGCTTGATCCAATTAAGTATGCATAAGCCATACCTGCGGGACTGTGGAAGATACTAGAGAGATCACCGCTATCTTCTAGGTCCTGTTCTTTGCATTTTTCCCCAAGAACACAAAGACTTCGCTGGATTGGACAAGGTGAAGATCGTGCTATCCCCACGAAACCTCACCACCTCACCCAACCAGGGAACGCTTTGCACTCACTGAAAAAAAATAAAATGCAAGGTGTTCCATGAATGATGCCAGAGCCTGGCAATCCCCTGTGGTCACTATGCAGTTAGGCAGCCAGTTGACACAGGACCCAGAAGACAGGGGTGATCACTGTAGAAGAGGCAACTACTACAGTGACTCTCCACTTGCACAGCAGTTTTTACAGGTATGAAATATGCGTACAGTCTACGCTTGGCCAACGTAACTAAGTAATAAAGTTCACAACCTGGAGTTCAGCTCTAAAAGGGACAGCTTCATAAAAAATATCTAGCAAAGCCCCTGTATGGAAAACTGTAAATACTTAAAGCGGAGTTCCACTCACTCTGTAAAAGAATAAAAGTCTGCAGCTACAAAAACTGTAGCTGCTGTCTTTTAAAAAAAGCCACTCACCTGTCCCATGATCCCGCTTTGCCCCCACCACAGCCCATTTCACCAGCCGTCCTGTATTCCAGGCACCAGCATCTTCAGTGTCTGCATCCGGCTGTGATAGCTTGCAGCGGCTTCACAGCCGGGTGCCCACTGCGCATGCGTGAGTAGGACCCACAAGACTTCGGGGAGGTACCATTTTCCGATCGCCTAGGCGGGTACCTGTCAAATTTGGGTAACCCCCCCCCCCCCCCCCCCCCGCTCCCCAAAGGTGCCACTCCTTAATGGGGAGCAGGGGACCAATCTTTAAAGCGGAACTTCCCCTTTTGGGTGGAACGCCACTTTAAGCTTCACTTTTAAGCTTCAGCTTTATGAGTTCTTGTCCCCCAAAGTCCACTGGGAAACTGACACATCCTGCACCACACACTTCTACTGCACGTTGCATATCACAAAATGCAGGTATATCACTAATTGGAAGGACAGAAACATACTGCAATAATGCTACAGTTTTTATTTCTGTGTTCCAGTGTTGTATACCATGTTCCAGGCTCCTGATTAGGTGAATACCATCTCACACTGCCGTATTCCTCACGAGGAGGTAGGGTGATATATGCAAGGACCCATAATGAGGGGCAGGTGGGTGGAGCTTTATCAGCTGAGGAACGCCAAAGTGCTTTTCCTTTTGTGACATATCTTTGTCAGGACAAATTCACAAACATTCACACTATACAAAAGGAATGCTTGTCTCTTATTCAATAATTATCCTGCATCTGGTGCTGGATTCTAAAAAAATCTAAAGCAGGAGTAAGCAATGTCAGCACTTTAGCGGTTTTATTGAACTATAAATTCCATCATGCTTCTGCCTCTGGATTTCAAACGAGAAAGTAAATACATTTTTGAACTATTATATATAGATTACCCTCTGGAGTAGGTATCTCCTTCAGTAATTGCATGCAACAATTTCACAATTAAGGAATGCTAACCTTTCTCCAATTTTTATTAGATGTATGATTGTACGGGATCTGCATTAAAACCAGACATACCCTGGCAGTTAACATCTTAAAAAGGCAGCTAGCAATGGGAAAGACATACAGTATTTCTCTCATGAGAGGTTTGGGGGTAAGCCTTTGCAAGATCTGCACACTGCCTGGGAGTGATTGTAGTCCAACCTTCTTATAGATGGGTTTGTTTTAGGAAAGATGATGTTTGTTCTGCATCATTTTCACAGATACGCTCTTGGATCGAAGTCAGGACTGTTAGCAGCCATTGCAAGATTTTATTTTATATAATATTTATAGAAATATTTTCCAGACAATATTTTGCGTCTAAAAAGAAACTGCAGAATACACAAAAGTAGTGCGCTACAGATAGTATGCAGCTGACCATGATCAAGAGGTTACAGAAGAACCAGCTGGAAGAAAACAAGGGTATCAGGCCTATCATAGGCCAGACCACAATCATAGCAGCAAGTACAGCATAAATGAACATGTTATCATCTTACAAAAAGGATTTGTGGGTCTGGAGGGTGTAACGTGGATGCCACAACCAGGAGAGAGTCAACTAAGCAGCAGCAAGTAGCCCACAGGACAGACACTCATCATAACTCACATGGAAGTGAACCCTCATCAACCAGACCAAGGGCAACTGTAATCAAAAGCCATCCATAACACCTAAGGTGCCATTCCAAAACCACTGATGGTCCAGCAGAGCTTGGTGCAATATGGTGCAGGCTCCAGACAGCTGTTTGTCAGTTACCATAAAATAAAAAACTAAGCACCCTAAAACAAAGAAAACAAAAAGCAAAAGAAAAAACAGTAACCCAGATAGGACACAGATCGGTAAATAAAGACAGCAAAGGGATCCACAGCTCCCTTCCACTTGGCTGTGGTTGCACAAAACAGGGGAATTAAAAACCAGATGGAAGATCTTATATTGTCCCACAAACATAAACATGAGGTCTACTCCAAAACATGGACACTATAGAACATGTTTATATATTCTGAGGAAGGGAAGTCTCTCTTCAAGGTGGCCTCCACCAGTGGTCCTCTTAAAGACTTGTTTCCCACATAGCATTTTACCCCTCCTCCCTCAACTCCCCCCACCAGGGTTTATTATTACTTTTTCCATATTGTAACTGATATGTGGTCATATGGTATGTTTACTGTCTGGACTTTTTTGTACTTATCTTGCTATACTCTTCGTTCGGGATGGAACCTGCTGTTCTATAAAATAAAGAATGTGTTAAAAAAAAAAAAAACAGACAGAAAGCCATGCTACAACTGTGATCTCCTCTCAAAAATAGCATCTCCGACAGTAAGGCCTACAGAGAAGCTGATGATAAAAAACTACTCAAACTGTCACAGATGGGGGGAGCAAGGGCACAAGCAAAGTGGGAGTTGGGGTCCCTGAAGCCCCTAAGTTGTAATGAATCCATGTAGCTCTGATGGAGAAAAACCTGTCATACCTGCCCTTACATGTAGCCATCCATTCCTCTGCCTCCATTAAATCATTTACTAGCTGTACCCAGTCTAAGCAACAAGGAACATGAGTCCTTTTCCAGTAAATCAGAATCAAACAGCGTATGGCATTTATGAGATGTGGCAACACGCTTTTACTATGATGGCTAAGAGGATTGAAAAGAACAGGAAATGCAACGGTGAGTCAGGGACATCAATATCTAGGTTCACCTTAATTTGGGCTATCATATCTAACCAGAAAAGGGTGTAACTTGGGACACTCCCCCCCCCCCCCCCAGATATGCAAAAAGGTGCTGTGCCTATCCAGGCCTATTTTAAAGCAATCCACTGTGCTAGCCAGAACCAACTCTTGAGGGAGTCTATTCCACATTTTCACAGCTCTTACTGTGAAGAAACCTTTCCGTGTTTGGAGATTACATTTATTTTCTTCCAGACGTAAAGAGTGCCCCCTTGTCCTCTGTGATGATCTCAAGGTGAATAACTCTACGCTGAGTCCACTATATGAACCACTGATGTATTTATACATGTTGATCATATCCCCCCTTAATCTCCCCCAAACGCCGTGTGGCATTTATGAGATGTGGCAACACGCTTTTCCTATGATGGCTAAGAGGATTGGAAGGAACAGGAAATGCAATGGTGAGTCAGGGACATCAATATCTAGGATCACCTTAATTTGGGCTAGGATATCTAACCAGAAAGGGTGTAACTTGGGACACTCCCCCTAGATCAGCGGTTCTCAACCTGGGGGTCGCGACCCCTTTGGGGGTCGAACGACCATTTCCCAGGGGTCGCCTAAGACCATCGGAAAACACATATTTCCGATGGTCTTAGGAACCGAGACACCGCTGCTCTGTCTCGCGATCTGTGGGCGGGATGATATGCTGCCCCTGTAACCTGGCCACACCTCCGGGATCACTCAACAGCTCCGCCTCCTCGCCGCTGATTGGCCACCGGAACTGTAGCTCAGGAGAGGCACACAGGCGGCCAATCACCGGCGAGGAGGTGGAGCTTGGAGAGGAGGAGCCGAGCGGCAGAGCGCGCAGATCGAAGAAGATCGAGGGAGCTGCAGGACCGAGTGAAGAGAGAGAGGCCAGAGAAGGAAGACAGCTGACAGGTAAGTGCAAATTTTGCTTCTGCAGGCTGTAGATGGGAGAGGGAGAGAGCGAGCCCAGGCTGGAGCAGGGGTCAGCAAGGTAAGTATCATTGGTGTCAGTGGGAGGAATAGTGCCCCATCATTTGTGTCACTAATACCAACGATGGGGCACTATTCCTCCCCCCACTGACACCAACGATGGGGCACTATTCCTCCCCCCACTGACACCAATGATAGGCACTATTCCTCCCCCCACTGACACCAACGATGGGGCACTATTCCTCCCACTGACACCAACGATGGGGCACTATTCCTCCCCCCACTGACACCAATGATGGGGCACTATTCCTCCCCCCACTGACACCAATGATGGGGCACTATTCCTCCCACTGATACCAATGATGGGGCACTATTCCTCCCACTGACACCAACGATGGGGGCACTATTCCTCCCCACTGACACCAACGATGGGGCACTATTCCTCCCCCCACTGA